GCCCAACACCCAGCGTCAGCGGACAGGCCAGGCAGCGCCTGCGCGCGCAGCCTCGGCAGGCCTGCTGGCCGAGCCAGTGTCCGACTGTCCGGTTCAACAGACCGGCAGTCCGGTCCAGACCGGTTCAGACCGGCTGGACCGGTTCAGCCCTATTTTCATGTTTCAGTCCCAGTTCTTGATTTCAGTGCCATTTTCAGTTAAAATTGCGGGTCCAGTTCAGTCCAGTAAATTAATATCAGTTCAGTTTCGTACTTAACCAGTTCTAGTTAAAGCGATTAAGTCCGAATATCATGTTAAGTCGAGTAGAGCATCTTAACATAATTAATCAGTTAATTTATCAGTCTGAGCATAGTCCTTAGTAATTGTTTATATTATTTTTCAGTTTGATCAGGCATCAGCACTACCTTCATTTTCAGCAGTTCAGGTGGGGACTCAGACTAAGTACTACATTGATTATAATTACGGTACCATGTTTGAGGTATGTATGTCATGTGAGGTATCCGCTCGGAACGGTCGCCGGTCCATTCTGGGTTCTAGTGGCCCTAGTCTGCCCACTAGAGTGTGCACATGGTGTCCGACATTAGTTTTTGCCGGTAGATGAGGTAACGGTCAGGGTCACGTTGCGTGACGATATCAGATTCATGTTCATGTTATTACCGGTTTCATGTTGAGGTTATGTATATGCCGATATCATGATGTTGTTATTATTTTCAATGTTTACATTAGTATGAGTTTTCACGGAGCACAGTGTCATAGTGCTCATTTCCCATTGTTATCATGTTTTTCAGGTCAGGATGTCGGGCAAGGAGTGTGAGCTGACGAAGGCTTCAGGACTTTTATGTTTTGACTGTATATGTATATTGACGATTTACGTTTCCGCTGATGATGACTTTTGACGAACTTATGTTTTGACCGTACTTTTGGAAAACTTTATGCTTTCAGTAACCGTATGATTTTATTAAAATTTAAGTAACGATTTTCCAAATTAAGTCACGATTATTAAGGTAGCACCCCGAATCAGTTTTCGCAAAGTAAAAGGTTTTATTTTTATTTATTTATTCAGAAATTTGTGAAAAACGCGTACTCTGATTTCAGTAAAAAAAAAGTCGGGGTGTTACATGAGTAAATAAGGACAAAAGGGAAAAAATAATCAACGTCTCCGGAAAGACTTGTTTTCGAACACGACACCATTATTTGATGTGGATAACATATATTTTGTGCCCCATCGCGTTTTGAAGCAAAATCGTATACATTTAAATAAGTGAAGGAAAATATGAGTAAATTGGGACAAAAGGGAAAAAAATAATCAGCGTCTGCGGAA